ATTAGTTTAGCCATTGTTGGTAACAATAAAAATCAGGAGACAGTTGCAAACTAATGATTTATAGGCAGAATGAAACACAGGATGACCTTGGCTGCCTTCCAGTCACTAACAAAATGACTGGTAGTTAGAAATAAATTAAAATTATTGCAAAAGGATAACATAAGTTATTTCTCCGATAGGTAATTTTACCAGCTAAATAGCCCTGTCATTAAACTAGCAGCTGTTGTACAAATTATATCCCAAGATAAAAAAGAAATTACAGCTTCCACAGTTGTTACAGTTTTGAGAATGATGAAAAACCTAATTCAGCAGGAGCTGACAGAAAAGGAGCTCTTGTGATAAGGCTGAACACACAGTCTTGGCTGGATTGCTGTCAGCTGAAGGACTCTTATGAAAGTTACACCGAAAAGATTGTATGCTGATCTATTATTAGAAATGGAAATTCCTTTACAGCTGATTCCAGAGAAAAAATCCAATCTTCTCTGATTGGAACTTGCATTGATAATGAAACTTTGGAATTTTCCAAAGTGGTGGTCCATGCAACTGTAATTCATAAAATATATTCTGGTTTTCAGAGGTATGGCTGGCCAAAAATCAACATCTGGAAAGAGTTTTCATGTTTGCAAGAGTACATCTTCAATGTCGTTCAGAAATGGAAACATACTTTACAGTTGTGATACCCTATCACTGGCCAAAAAACCTCACAACTGACAAACAAAACATTAATTTAAAAAGCAAGACATAGGGAGGTTGCATTTTTCTTCCTTTTAATTTTTTTTAGGGGTTGCACTCCACTTTTCCCACTTCTGTGTGCTGCACTGCTTGCTGCTACACAGGCCAAGATGCACATGCAGACTTCTGCTTGGGACGACATGAACAGCTCACATTCTCATTAAATTGGGCTGTATAATATACATTCAATCATCACAGAATAAAACTAAGGTGAGGGGACATGTGTGAAGGACGGGGTAACGGGGCTACTCAGAGTACTCACGTGAGTGGGAAGACTGGCATGAAGAGAGCTTCTTTCAGGGTTGGGTAGCACAGACACAGAGGTGAAGACACCACGGGCGGCACACATAGCCACCAGCCTGGTCAAAGGCACCAGCGTGCAGCCACTTTGTGTAGGAGGAATGGAGAGAGGCATCTGAAGGCAAACCAGGTTGAGGGCCCTGGGGAAGGCACAAGAAGATCCTGGCTGCTCCTGGCTCATCCCAGGGATGAGGGCTAGTTCCCAAAATAGAGAGGGATGGGGCAGCAGAGATGCAGGTGGGTGATCACAGACCTCTTGGGCTGTGCAGCTATCTTGGCCTCACACCTACGCGTGCAACTGGGACCTGAGCGAAAATATGGCAGAAGCCCCAGCTGGGTGATTTCTGCTGCAAAAGTGAGAATGTGCTTGCTGGTACAGTGTAGTCAGATATTAGTCTTTGACTACTTCTCCTATTCCTCTTCTTTGCTACCCTTCCTTTTCAGTGGGTTTCCTTTCTCCCTGGAAGGAAGAGCTCTCGCTCTGAAAAATAGCTTGGGCCAAATTTTCCCACTTTTGATGAAAACATCAGAATGATTTGTAAAACTTGTGCATGTGGTTTTGTATTACTGTTTCCAAACAACTGCTCAGAGCACCTCAGTGCTGAAAAATATGGCTCTCCAGAAATCTACACTTTAAGAGAAAAGGCTAAATTGTTCACATGTACAATTAAACTGATTTAAAAAGAAAACCCTTAAACTCGTACAACTTGGCAAACAGGTGGCATTGCTTTCCTTTTAGTCCTACACACTCATCATTCATTCCTGTTTCCTTTGGCCAACGGAAGTGTTTCTGCAACTCGGGAGTGAACCAGGTTCCAGAAACAATCGCTGTAAAATCTGATCATTTGTTTTTGTTAGGTTCATCTTAAACCCATTAGTTTCCAGATCGCTTTCATCACAGGAATTTGTGTAAACAAACAGGAGAAGGCAGCTGGGCCGAAGAGGGAAGAGAAAAATGCCTCCCTCAATGAGGATGCTAAATTAGGCCCACTTAAATTGACCATACACTTACATACATTTGACTGTGTCTAAATCAATTATGAACAAGATACAAGTCTGCTCAACAAACCTACATGGAAAGAAACGCCAGAAAGAGGCTGCGTTTACAACTTCAGTTCTTCCCCGTTGTGCATACGCACAACTGTGTGACTCAAATCACACAGTTTAATATAGGGAATCTGTTGCTGCTCACACTCAACTCAAGTGACAACTGTGACAAGAAGGCTATTTGCCTGTACAGGGTTAGGTACCACTTACAAAACAGGAGGGCGTAGGGCATCTCTGAGAACTGGCCACGAATTTTTCTTCTTTTTTAAACTGTAAAAAACAGGATAGTTTTCCCCAACTCCTCTTCAGAAATCACAAACAATTTGTTTGAAACTTTTAAAATAATTTAAGCTGGGGAAGATGCCAGGCTTTGAGAATTTCAATCCTGATTGGTTGACATGTGGCAAAGCAGGAAGAAATGGACATAGGGTCTTAGAAAAGGAAGTGCTGGGCAACCTTTTTAACAGGAACCTGTTTTCAGCCTTGTCTATAATTAATAAATTAACACAAATCATGAGTAGCATGAGCCTAAGTAGCAGCCTTGGGATGAGTCAGTAGCTACAGCCACACTGCTGGGATGCAAGAAGCCATGGTGGGCAGCCCAGTCCTCTTACTTTGGTGGGGAGTACCGGGCTGCCCCAGCCGTACGCCTAGAGGAGAAATACTCTGCAGGCATCTAGGGCATCAGAGCAAGCCCTACGGGCAGATGTGCCTGTAGGTGGCTCCCAGCTATTCCATCCGCCCATGCTAGAGATGACACTGCACAGACACGGCGACCTGGACTCCCTCCCTGCAGGGGCTCCTAAGTCAAGAGCAGCCAGACGGCTGTAGGCAACCCTTCACTCAAAAACACAGGCATCCATGCTCAAACTCCACGAATGAGCAATCCTTTAAAAAGGTCAGGAGAGATGATCAAATGCAAAAGCAAAAACCTGGCAGAATTTTAGATGCTAAACGCCTTTAGGATATATTTTTCCCACCAGATACTGTACACAATGTTAATGTGAATATTATAATCCTGACAACTCGTTCTTGACTGAATTATGAAGCTCTTAATTTACAAAGGAAGGATGCAGTACTTGTGTCAATGTCTTATGTTGCTAACTGCATCAAATTAGTACATTTACCTCATATTATACAGCTGAGACATTTGTTTGGCAGGAACTCAGGACAGTAAAATGAGAGAGATTAGCATGCTGTCATTTTTCTATAGTCCATATTTTTCCATAGCTGATGACACTTGAAAGCTAGGAGGGAACCTGCTCTGTTTCCACACATTTACTCATCTACCAATGCAGTATTTTTCTGTGCTTGATATACAGCTGTGCTAACCATCAGAGTTCAGATTAGGGCTAGTATGCTTCAACATTTTGTAAGCCAGGCATGCAGAGAAGGAGGCACATGGATCGGGACGGAAGGTGGCCAAACCTGCTCCCGAACCCCAGTTGGGATAAAGAGCCCACCCTCGCTCAAGACTGAGAAATAACAACATCAAAAACTGTTTAGGGATTGAAAGAGTTACCTGGATGCATAATCCATTTCCTAAGAATGGATGTTTCAGAATTTCCGATTGTCTCATTAGGGCAAGAACTTTAGCTGATAGACAAAGTACTGCAGTGGCACTCAAGAAATCTCACCCAGTTTGCCTCGCAGGTTTGGTCAAAGGATAAACCACCTTCTGTAAAATGGGGTATATACTATTTCCTAACCATGGCAGAAGCATGAATCAATTAATATCATTGAACAAAGTTATATGAAGAGGACTGCACTTTTGCCACTGAAGATACATACATGTTTGGATGTAACTAATTTTCTGCAGCAGTCTAAAATGGCATGCATGGCCAATGGATCTTCTAAACTTATAACACAGACAAGGTACCTTACTGCCATCAGGAGTCCATCTGCTGAATCTTAGGTTGAGAACCAAGAGGCTTGGGGCCCAAATCCAAAAGCCATTTAGGGACCTAAGTCGTGACGGCTTAACAAATATTATAGGTTCCTAGTTTAGAGATGGGCACCTAAATCCCTCCTTCAGTTTAAGCACGTGCTGAGCAGTCAGTCTGTTCTAGGATAAGTCAGCTCCCCTCCCGTCTGCTCAGGCCCTTCAACTTTTTGTCTGATCAAGTCATTCAGACTTAGAGCTCTCCTCATTCTGTATTTGAAAAGCACCTACCACAAGTGTGGGGTGCTGATGCTAGAAAGGAACTCCAAGCTTTACTCAGGCATCTCACAGTTACCCTTACAGTTGAAGCGACAGAAATAAGTTATGTGGGGTATCATTCTGTTGCTGTTAATATTTGTCTGAACTATTTTAAGCTTCACTTTCCCTTATTTCAAGACTGAGTCACTGAACATTTGGGGGCCTGGGAAGAATTTAAAATCTTGACTTGCTTCCAGCAACTAGAAGCTTCTGTTGCAGCATTTTGAGTCTGCCAAAAGAGTCTCTGACTGACCTACAGGGAAGCTGCCTGCTGCATTTAAAGCAGGGGAACTTCACAGCAAACAGGAGTTTAGGCAACTCATTAGCTTTCAACTGCATATACTTTTCCTGGGAACATTACCTTAATACAGCTGCAGTCTCCAGCAACGGCAATGATTTTTGCATGTTCTGAATAGCATGTCAAACTGTCTGTACTTACTCAATAAATTAAGTTCTGGAAACATTCCTTTTCTATTCCTCGCATTTGTTTTCCTCACCTTAAAAACACATGCACAGCAGCAGAGGGGGACGACTGCTGTCTGACAAGGACCCAGCTGACAGTTTCCCGACCGCAGCTAGATACTTCCCTAACACTGAAACCTGTCACCCTGCAACAGAACTCCTAGTGATATTCCTCAAGCCTTAGCTTGTGGCAAAGTACATAAACCATTTCATTTGCCAGGACAAGCTACGTGTAAAGAAAGAGATAACTGAACTTTACCCCTTGTTCTTGGCAGATCTGGGTTAGTCTTTCCAGCTGCTCATCTTGAATAGCCTTTGCCTTCTCATACTGCTGAATCATCATCTCCATCTCCACTTTCACTGGAAGGACATAAGCTGGAAAACACAAATAAGCACTTAAAGCAACCCGGCTGTGATTTGTTTTTGTCAGAGGGAATACCTTTACAGACCTTTGAGCCACAAGGGACCTTTGTAACAATCCAATCCTGTATTGCACAGGCCACAGAATTTCACCCCTTTCACTGACAGATAGAGAACTGGAGTATTTCTCCTCGAAAGAGAATGAGAGTATTCCTCCTGGGAAAGGGATTCTAACATGTACAATGCAGGTCATCAGCAGGGTCTGGACCTTGTTTGGTCATATATCCATTTGCCTGGCTGAGCTGAAATGCATCCTGCATGCTCTTCCTAGCTTCTGCACTAATACAGATGTTTTCTCAGTGTTTACCACAGATTTCCTGAATTGTTGGGTAGGAGGATTTTCTGCTTGGAGTTGTGCCCATCCCCTCGAAACTTCAACAGTATGGCTCTCTTGGGAGAGGAATTATTCCAGAGCCCTAAGCATTTAATTCCTAGGCATGGTTGCAGAAAAATATGTCCTTGATAGAAATAGCAGACTAAGAAGGAGATTTTAAAATACAAAGACATTTCACTTCTATCGCTTTCCAGGAGAAGGTGGTTGCTATGGCCCAGTTCTCAACAGGTCTTCTGAATGCCTCTAGAAATTTTGCTCCAGTCATAATTAAGGTGAACTCAGATTATTAGCAAAGTTTTTCTATGGCCACTGCAATTCTTGATGCTTTGTGAAGCTACACAAGATCCTAACTTTGCTTGGACACCTCACGCAGAGGGCTCGACTCTGAATGCTTGAGTGTCCTGGACATCTACCCCAGAAATTACACCCCGACCCTGATCCTGACACAGGAGCAAAGTGAGCCTTCATTTATTCCTTTTCCACCTCTTATACTTGTAATCCAAAATGCCTCAAACCATTTACCACAAAGTAGCCTACACCTGTAGAGCTGTCCTTCACCATCTCTAAGTTTTGTTTGCCTTAAGTCCTTGCTTGCAGGCACAGTTATTGGCTCTGTTTTCTGAAACCCTGACTTGCTGGGGTGTTTTAACCTCCCCTGGTGCCTCCCCACAGAGGCCTGTGCAAAACAGTACTGGTGTACTGTGCAAAACAATACTTCCTTGTTATGCTGTACAGCATGCCAGGTTCACAGAGAGCACCTTCAGCAGAGAACCCCCACCACCAGAAAAACTCAGGAATCTGACATAAAAATTATATTACCAGCAAAAACCTGGAAAAGCAAGCACAAAGACAGAGCTACCTAGGAGGATATGGGGAGAGCACAGCAGATATCAGAAAAGCAGATCAGAAGCGATTATTTTGCAAAATCAGGAATGATGTCTGGTGGCAGGAGACAGGAAAAGGGGCATGTCAGATGCATTTGTTTGACAGGATGGGGGATGTGAAGGTGCCTCACAAAAAAACAAACCAATCAATTATAAAGATTCACAGGGGAACAACAGATACAACCATGAACTCAAGACCTAGTCTCCTCCATGGGAGTCATAACTCTCTTCCATTCAGAGCTTTAAAATGTAAGAGGAAGGAGAACAATAAAAACAGTGATGACAAGCAATCTGTCTTTCCATATTTTTAAACCTTTTCTTTCCCCAACCTGCCAGGTAATTCTAGCAGCCCCAGTGTGAATCACCACTCACCATCAATGATCCTCTTCACTCTCCATATTCGCAGTGTGATAATAAGGCTGATAGCATCCCATGGGCTGCTGGGGCCATTAGCCACTGTTGAAGCCACCATTGGTGCCAAGGACAAGATTATGACAGCACCATCAAACACCTAGGGAGAAATCAGCTTTTTCAAACCCTTCCTCACAAGCCCTGACCACAAGCACTGCAATTCCTGCTTGCGGTCTTGAAGGGCTCCCACTGCTTCGAAAAGAAATGCAATTATAATATACATATGTGTGTGTGTGTGTGTGTGTGTGTGTGTGTGTGTGTGTGTATGTACGTATGTATATAATTGAAAGGGGTAGGAGAGTAGCCAAGCCCCAGAAAGGCTGCATCCTCTTCAGGCAGCACAACAGAATTCCTTAGTGCTTCACCCACATTTTATGAGGTGAGAGAGAGAAAGTGCGGTGGGAGGGCAGGGAGAGAGAAAGGCATTTGGATCTACTGGCCAAAATCTCCAAGTAGAGGTGATAGCCTAAATGATATTACAACCAAAGAGTTTTATTATCATTGCTATTTATTACCCGTTAATTGGCATAATGCCGTCCCAAAAGAGGATACAGTCCCTGCCCATAGATCTTACTGTCTAAACGAAGAGATCAAGAAGATAAGTAGAAAGAGATGGAGGAAAGAGACTTGATGGCTCTCGGCCATATCCTGACTATGCAAAGTGCGTGCGAACTGCTGTGCGTCAAGAAAGACTCTCCGCTCTCACTCTCAGCGGGCAGCTAAATTTCCAAGGATTCTGACACAGGAGGATTCAGAAGGATTTGTATGACGTTAGTTGCATTGCGGACCGGGTCAGGAAAGGCAACTGTGCAAGGTAAGGGGTAGAAACGTGTGAATAAGCACCTTTCACAGCAAACCTGCAATAGTGTTGTAGCTGTCCTACGCTTGCCCAGCAGGGTAGAGCACAGTCTCACGTCCTCATTCCCCCAGAGACCCTTCCCACATGCCAAAGACCGCTGACTAATGGTTTGCACAGGGAGGCAGCACACAGGTTTTGTAAGCACCAGACATTCAGAATTTTGTGTAAAAACTCAGTGTATTGAAAAGAAACACTTTTAACTGCCACCATTTGATGGACAGTGAACAAAATCACTCCATTCCACGTTATCAAACTAAATCCTCTGAAACTGCTGCATTTTGCTCGATAATACAGAATGTCTCTATTAATAATGTGAGTTTCACTTCAAATTTTAGCAAAGCAAGTCAAAAGTCATATTACAAAAATGTGCAACTATCTGAATTCACTTAAGATCAATGAAAAAACAAATTTTGTCCTGCTGCATCTTGTGCAGCATTAGCTTTTCAGACAATTTCAAAAATGAGCCTTTAATTTCCTTGACCTCCAGATTTCTGCTTGGATTGGGATTACTTTTAATACGTGCATTTCCTTGTCTCTGGAACAGTATGCACATTTTACCTCATTTTTAATTTGAGGTAAAAATTAAAATTTTTTTTAAAGGTCAAATTTAATTAAAAAAAAAATGCCACAAGAAAAAAAAAAAAATGCCCAAGAAAGTTGGGGGGGGGGGGGGTTGCCAAACCACTGTTTTCTATCAGAAAACTGCACAACATTTTGCAGTCAGTTCTAATTTCAACTTGATTATGGGAATGTGGTTACACAAGCTGCATGACAATTTTTGCTCCTATAGCTTATTCTCTCAGGACAGCACTATCAACAGTTTGGCTAGCATAAGTCTAACAATAAAATTCATACCCACATGGAGCAAAACTCCACAATTTTCTCCCCTAGAAATAAAATATTTCTAAATATGGCTGAAACTTGCACTCTTCTGAAAGTCTGATAGGAAAAGGGACTACCTCACACAGCTATGTATACATGCATATGCCAAGAGGAATGTGCTTTCATTTCTGAGTATCAGTTAAAAGACACCTGTATTGCATCAGTTCTTTAACAAAGCCACCCAAAGTAGTACTTAATATTCCTACTGTGCCTGCCTGCAAAGCAATACAAAGAGCAGAAGTGCTTACCTCTATTTTGTTTTCAATATAATCCCATATGCCAAGGACCACAATCCTCAAAATAGTCTAGTAAAACAGATTAGAGAAAAAAAGAAAACAAATGTTATTGTAATCTAACATAAACATTTAGTCCTTATTCTATTTTAGTGATACTAGGAGATTTTTTTTTGTCCTACTTAAGCATTAAGCTTTTCTTAAATAATACAGAGGATCAAGAAATAGCTATGTTTCTCTACTACAAAAAGAGGTACCGCTTTCCAACTACCACATTGACTCAGCAAAACTTCCCTAAATGAATTCCAAGTTCCCATGTTCATCAGTCTTTCCATCCTTCTACAGCTTCTCTTTTAGATTTGAGAAATTCAGATTACCTAAAAAAAACCCAGCCCCAAGTCTATATAATATTTGCTCTCAGGCCCTCTCAGAGGTGCTTGAATGGGGAGGGATTCTCTTTTCTTGCCATCTTCGATATGCCAATACCTCTTGTTTTCCAAGGAAAGAGGCACTGCCCCCCACATAATGTATGAAGCTACTGCTATTTCACCAAACTGAAGAGAGCAGAGGCTATTGTTTTCCCTCTCCAGAATACAGGGCCATTGCCTTATTATAAAATCCCAGAAAGTCATAGGGGGAAGGAGAAAATATCTCCATGATCCTGCTCTATTAAGCAAAACAGCTATGAGTAGCATCAATAACTAGGAAAGAGGAATAAAGAATGAACACAGAATGAACCAATGGTGAATTCCCATTAAAAAATCCAATGGCATCTTCCCCATTTTTTTTAACCTGGCTTTGATACTTTCAGAAGATGCAATAAAAAAATCAATCAGCAGATTAATGGTTGAAATTGAATTCACATAAAAGCATAATCAGTAAGGATATTTTCTTCCCACAGCAACATCAAACTTGGATTTCGACACACGTTACATGCATGAAGATCCTAACTGTGCAGCTGTGTGCCTTGTAAAGAAGATCAAAATGCTACTTTCTCCGTTAGAGGACAGAAGCGACAGAGAGCTCGGCAGACCTATGCGTGAGGGGTGACCATGCCACAAACTGTGCAGAAAAAGGTATAAAGTGACTGTGATGAATATACGCATCTCCTCTTCATTACAAATACAAATATATTAAATCCCAATCAACATCGAATTAATGCCAAACATACCAACGCTAAGTGCAGAACGACACTGGATTTTTCCGAACGGTATTGCTCATATGAATGGCTTTGAACCTCACGAGCCCAGGTGCCTCGCTTGGCCTGGGATGGCTGTGCTGAGCTCTGTCTTGGCACTCCAAACCTGGATAGCAGCCCTTAATCCTGTTTTGCACAGGGAGACGTTGCTGCAGGAGATACGGGGTTCAGAGCCCAGCATCATACCATCAGCGTGCAGGGAAGTGAATCAGCCAATGCTCATGCAAAAAAGGCATACGTGAAGCATCAGCTAAGTCTGGCTGAGAAAGGGAGTTGCTAGCCAGACGAGCAAACGCTCTTCTGTTTCCTCTGCAAAGAATGATATGAGACTCTAAGTAAATACCAGGAACTGCTAAGGCTGCTGGTCTTTGTATTCCTCTGTAACGAACATTTTCCTTCCAAAGCATTTTACAAATGCAGCCTAGGAATAAGAGTATTCGCAGGGATTTCCTTTTTAACGTGTATGCAGGGGGGTCTGGATGGGGAGGAAGAGCTGCACAACAGCAGCTTCTCTATGATCCCATAGTCACCAGCGTAATGGGATGCGAGTGCATGGTGCAAGTGCACACGCTGCTGTAAAACCCAGGTACTCCTACTGTTGCACAAAAGTACCTTAGCTCCTCTGCGAGCACCTCTCATGCTCCCCATTGAGAATATGCACAAAACTCTTCAGCACAAGTTACTCAGGAGCACACAAATTTAATTATGTAAGTCAGCCTGGGGTCCACCACAGCAAGCTCACAGGCAGTCACTGGGACATGCAGGAGGAAATGCAATGCCTTCTTTAACACCTGGGATGCTAACTTTCCTACAGCAACCTTGCTGACTGCAGAGGGAAGTCTGGCTCATTTTCTTCTATGCGTAGACTGCATTTGTGCAATGCTAAGCCAATGAGCAACTAACGGAGGGCTGAATACTTTACACATTTACAGAAACTGATGGTGGAAAACCTCCTCGCTTGGGGAAGGTGTGCACAGATTTTGTCTTTGAAATAAGGCGTATCTGCACAGAGAAAATGGAAACACTGGCTCACAATCCTAACGCAGAGCTGTTAAGGGTGCAAAAAAAAAAAAAATAGGATCTTCCTTTCCATCTTTTTAATTCCTCACTGCGGTGTTTAAATCAGACTGTACTACTGTCTTATTAATGCATCTGAACAGATCCAAGGGTTGGAGGCTAGCGCAAATGTTTTCATTTTTAGTCTGCTGATGTGAATCAGCACAAGTCAGCAATGACTGGAAGTCTCTATTTGGCAGACATTTAATGCAGTAACGGTTCTCAGCACTAGCTCTAGAAGACAGGTTTCCACGTCACAAAGAAATAATCAGCATCTTTGCTCACAGCTGGAGCAAACGGACTACAGGAACATGGAGCACGAGGACTGAATGATCCCAGCAACTCCGCTAAGAGATGCAATCTTCCAAACAAACTCTGGCCACCGCTGAGAGTTAAACTTAAAAACCATCTGTTCTCTAGGGGACATCTTAAGGCTACGCATTGCTGTTATCCACCAGCTTGTCACTCTGAGCAAAGCAAAGCACATCTACCGCTGAAGTTACAAAAGCTGTGTCAGGAAGCTTCGCCTTGGTGCCCAGCAAAAGCAGCATGGCGAGCGAGTCCACACTGCATGGATCCAGAGATATCCTTGCCCAGGAGACATCCAGGTACTCGCTGGCCAGCCTGCACTGGTAGCAACACCAAACTAGCTTTAGCTTCCTCTACTCTCCCTCAGTTTGCGGAGAGAGCACGTGATCGCAACGCACTCCCATCGCTACAGCTCTTGCCCAGAGGAGTCTGAACTTCACAGATTTGGACTTCGCGGGGCAAATTTCCCGGCGGTTTTTGATCCTAAACAGTCAACACGGTAAATACTTGGACTGAAATGAAAGCATTGGTGTAACTTACAAATAACATTTTAAATATTTTTCCTAAACAATCAAAAATATATTTCAAACAAATACATATTGCATTTGGTCATGTACTTTCTTTGTACAGCACATTAAAAATAAGAATCTGGAGCAGAATCTGGAAAAAACAGAGACAGAAATTAATAATCCAGGAAGCTTCCTAGGCACTGTACATGGACCAAACTTAAACAAATAAATGAATTAAGAAAATTACAACTGTAACATTCATCACAGTCCAAACATAAATGTTAGTCATGACTCAGTACCATTTGTTGTACTGACACTAGTTTCTACAACAAATAGGGAAAAGGGGGGGAAAAAAAAAAAGGAAGAAGCACTGCTGTTTTCTTACTGATGTGCAGGCATTTTTCAGCACTGTAGCAAACGCACACACAAAGTTTTGCATTACACTGCAGGCATTCTGCATTTTTGGACACACAGGCTGGAATGCAAACATTAAGTACAAATATGAGTACTTTTCTGTTAAAGGCCACTGCCAACTTGTTTTTTTCTAATGGGGAAAGAATGATTTAACATGTCTTGACTGGAAATCTTTTAATTAGAAAGTCCTGAACATATACAATTTTTTAATTATATCAGAAATACATTTTTTGTTTTCTCACCCTGAGAAAAGCTAAATAATTACATAAAAGCCTGCCAGTGCCCTAAGAAAAGCTAAAGGACTGAATGCTTCTGATAACTTAATAATATCAGATATAAAGAAACTTTCAAACCATTTTCAGGCAGAAATGTAATTTTGAAGTTGACAGCGTGCCTTGGTGATACATAGTTGTTTGCACAGTGTCAGCTCTCTGCCGTGAGGTTTGTGAAGAACTGTGTGATGCTGCAGGTTTTCTCCCTAATTTTGCAGGGAAGCCCGGCCAAGTCCTCTGCTGAGCCAGCTGTGTGAATTCCCACAATCTGCGTGAGTTAGCCACGTTTCTCAGCTGACTGCACTGTACATTCGGTAATTTTAAATACTTTACTGCTTGCACAGTTAATATATAATTTACTACTCCGTGACTCACTGTGCCAGATTCATCCTTAGTGTAAAGAAATCCAAAGGAGGCAGCACGGGGAGGGGGGAAGCTGGCCCAGCAGGTTTAGCTAACAGCAAAGGAGGGCAACGCTGCATTTCGAGATGGGGTAGCAGTTGTACAAGAGAGAGACAGTGGATGGCGCAGGGAGGAAAGGGGTCTTTGGCAGAGTGCTTCCCTCTTTCAGCCAAAAAACTAATCTGTTACAGAGGGCATTTACCTCTGGCTTGTACCAAAACTCTGAAGATTAAGCTTCTGCCTTAGGGATATATCTCATAAGACCAAATATTAATCAAAATCTTTCCCAGAAAAAATACCTTGTACCCAGTCTGTGATATATAACCCCTCTGCTTTGGGTCACTCCGCAGAGGCCTTAGCTCATTCACTACTTAAAAGAATCTTCTTTTGCCTTCTTGTAGGGTGCCTGCCCTGAGACACTGCTGCGTTAGCTGCTCGAGGGCACGCTACCCCCCTGCCGCCAGGGCACGGAGCAACGGGTCAGCATCTTTAAAATGAGCCATCCTTCCGCGTCCAGTGCATGGGCATCCTCCTCACATGGGTTCACTTCAAGCCAGGCTCTGGAAGGAAAAGGATAACTGCTGACCTCCCCTCACAAGGCTGCCCACCTCCTGAGCCCTGTAACTGCTGCAGCTCTAGTACCGCATGTGGGCACACAGAAATAATTAACTGCAAAAGCTTGGTGACACTAATAGACATAACGCAGTACCTTCTTTTACACTGACTACCACTAATACTCTATTATGATATCGCAGAGTATCTAATTGCACGTTTGCACAAACAGTGCCGTTTATATATAGTCCCATAATATTTGTTCTTAGAATATAGCGAACAATAGCAAATTTTCAACTGAGAACTCTGCATTGATTTGAAAGGATTTGGGGGGGATAGGAATGGTTTACTGGAGACATAGCACACTACCATGAGGTAAATGCAGACTGAATAGAAAACCGGGCTTGAGCACCTCTGCATCAGAAGTTCCCTCTGGGCATGATCACGCTAGCACTAATTCTTATCCTTCTAGCGCACTAGGTAGAGGTGCTGGATGTCATTGCAAGTAGCAAGGACAGCTGCTAAGACACCCAATGAAACAAAGAAGGAAATTAAATTTCATTTTCTAATATATTAGCTTATAAAATCCACATCTTTGTTCCTAGATCCCCTCTCTTCAACCGCTTCAAAAATCGAAACATGGCCAGCAAAGCAGCGCAGTTATGCTCTGTGAGAACAGTAGTGTGCACCTGGAAGGAAAGCAAACATCCACAAAAGAAACTTCAGCTTATGGAAGAACTATAGCATTAGCAGAAGATGATTATCTTTCTGCTTAGCTGTTCAAGGCATCACTAAAAACCTAACAAAGGTCAAAGAGCTGGTTTCCTTAATATAAAATTCTTCAGGAGCTGTTATGAAAAATCTGTATGGGAAGGACATTATTTTCTTTTAGTTCTGTTGTTTGGGATGTTTTTCTTTTTTAAATTTTTGTAGAACCCTAGTGGTAGAGTCTTCCTTAGGAGGCTTTATTCCTTCCAAGGGCTCGCTACTAACAGGAAGTAGTGTCAGAGCTTACTGCGGACACTTTCTTTTCATATATAGGGTGAATAAAGTCTTGGCATTTTGTTTCCTCCTTAAAGTGAAAATCTAATATGAACTTTTGAGACATACTTAATGAAAGAAATCCTTCATCAGTTAGGACCCCAGACTCACTGAACTCGATATTCAATGCGAGAACCTGTTTCTTGAACGCAGCTACAGGAGAAAGGTCGCAATTCAGCGAGTACCTAACCTGAAGCACACCAGCAGTCTCGCTTACTTGCAGGGAAATACTCACGTGCTGAAAGTTAGCAGAATGCCTGAGTGCTTGGCTGAGTGAAGCGCACACAGAGCAACGCAAACAGCTAATATTAACGAATCCACTTCTTGCACACAAACGCTCTCATCCATCTCAGTGGAACAGAACAGCAGCTACAGAATCAGGTTTTTGTGGCAAAGTGATAAGGCTATTAACATACAAGCAGACTCCAATCCACTTACCAAAACACTGTGACATTCCCCATCGTCCTTTTCTCAGCCAACTATTACCAAGGCTGAATTTGCCCTCTTGATAGGGTGTAACCCCGGCCTTGCCTTGCTGTTGGTACTGGGGTTTTCCCCCCCAAGTGTCTTTCTCTTCTCTTCTGTCTTAACATCTGGGTAACATTTGGTGCACAGACAAATCATAGTGATGTATGTAAACAGAGACAAACATACACAATCATCACCACTAGCAAATCCTGTTCAAATATTTGGAAAAAAGCAAAAAGAGTTGATATGCGCTTCACCTGAATAGGGTATTTTAATGTCGGAGAGTCACAGACAGTGACAGAAGGAGAATATAAAATTAACAGAGCGCAATAGCTTCCTTTAAGGCTTGCGGCTCTAACATAAATGTAGAGAGGGCGGGAAAACGCTGTGAGAGTAGCTACTTAATTTTGCTGGCAGCCGTTCTGCTGGCAGTTGGCTAGTTGCTGGCGTGTTTGTCCCCTTCACTTCAACCAAGCAGAAAGCCAGGGCCTCTGTAACTCTAACGGGATAGGACTGTCAGTACTTGCAAGGACTTTACAGCATCAGCTTTTAACCAGCCGTATTTTTCCAGAACATTCAGATTTTATTCTGAAAGTTTTCTGTTTTTTAAAAGAGTCTGTTACACCTTTGGTACTATTTGTCCTCTGAGTTGAGACCTTTCTGAAGAATCATGTGTCCACATTTGTAATTAATGGAAACCAAACTAGAGAGAAAACAATAAACATCCCACCTTGGGATATGGTATTTGCTATGGAAACTGCTCTTTCTGAACACCAGAAACCCCGAATTCCTGCTTTGGGGGAAATATCCAAGCGAACTAATTAAACCTGCTCATCTCTGGAAAGTCATCCTGGCATGAACAGTCACGGACTGCAAAGCCTCCCTGTAGCACACTGTCTTCCCAACACATAAATCCAAAGACAGCTGACTCATGGTATTGGGAGTCAGACTGCAAAAATCCTCCAAAGGCACCAAAAGAGTAAATAAAATGAAGACAGGAGAAAAAATCCTGATTTCTGTGATCTGCAATTTTTGCAATATTTCATAATCTCTTGGAAAGTCAAAGCTTCCCATTTGGACGGGAAAAAATTAACCTCTCTGTTTTTCTTTTGATGAGATGCATTTCAACACAATCAGATGTGCTGTTGCCCCTTTAGCCAACCTGGCACAAGGCCATACCCAGCAAACCCCTAACAGTGGCAAAGGTACACCTGCATTTTATTCCAGATGTGTGGTCTTTGAAGCACATCCAGATGCGCTGTGGAGCCACCTCTGTTGCTTTAACTCAGTCAAGGACTCTGGGCTGCCAAAAATTCACTTGATGAACCAATATCCAAAAATACACTCTCCTTTATGCGCCTTACATGGCTGCCTCGCCGCCCCATTTTTCTTCAGCATAAATTCAAACCATAATCAAACAGGTGAAAGAAGATATTTTGAAAGACAGAAATAAATAAAGTGGGTGGTAAGAGGCTTATAAAAAGGAGGACAACAAGCAGACAGAGAAAAATAATTCCAAATACCTAATGCAGAGAGAAGGAGAAAACGTAACACACACAAAATGAGGGTGGTGAGTAGGCAATCAGGTTTGGCTATGTGAAGTATTTCTGTTACTGCTTTCCTGCAAAGTATTTCTGGGCCAGTTCCTCTCCTCATGCAGGTACCTGTCTCAGCAGAACTGAAACAATTTCTCCCTTGAGACAGGTGAGGACGATATCCATGCTGGCCCTGAGGACGTGTCTGCGCTGCCACACAGAATCTACCAAAACCTGTCAGCATATGAGCTGGATTATGGAAGGGATACAGGAGCAAGACGTTGCATCAGGCTTTGGGGAGAGTGGCCGGGGGTACAAGGGAATGAACGGGACTGAGACTACACCCAGTAGAAGGAAACTGAGGACCACAACGGCACTTGCTGTGAGACAAGCTCCAGCCAGCAAGAAGACCAGGTTAAGCGTACATGTGCTGCCATCAGCAAAGTTTCAGGCAGTTTCAAGCTGATCCTGCTGAGAAGCTTGGGGGCTCCAGGGCGCTGATCTTCACTGGAGATACGAAAGAACTGGAAGGCGAGGCTGACTGCCTATTTCTTTATAGGCAATGAGCTCCATCTAGCAAACATCAACCTTCAAGAATCATGATGTGCAACGCGCAAAGCAAAGATGCTGCAAAACTTCTAACTTGTTTAAAGATTTTTGCTCCAGCAGTTTACATGTGCCCACAACCCATGTTCCCTGTCAAAGGAGGGGAAAAGTAAGAGTGAATCATATCTATACGTATAACTGCAACACCCAGAAGGCTAGGATGCAAAGCACTTGCAAGACCCCTGCCTGATTTTGAGGAATCCTTTCAGAACGTGCCCACTGGCAGTCAGGCAACACTAGCTAGAATAACCCTGTCTCAAGTAGAAACATAAAGTGACATAATATAGGTAATGGAATATAGGTTTGTTAATAGAACCATGGAAATAAACAATGGTATAATATGGTGAGTATGAATTCAACACAAGTAACTTATTCAGTCATTTGCAGATATCACAGCTCCCAGTTTTTAAGTGAAGGTAAAAAAAAAAAAAAATCAAATTTACCAAAATGAAGACTAACTTTTTTTTGGATGATAATATTTTCTCCTATGGAACTAGAAAATGTTTTTTTTAAATATGTAATTCCAAGATGTCTTCCAACATACAAGATGGTATAATTTAAAAAACACAAATATGTAGCAATTTTTTTGTAACGACTAATAAATTACGACCTGGAAAAATAACGTAAATAGATATTTTGGGACATTTCAGATGTAGTGTAAATGTCTCAATATAGATGACTTCTTTCTGGAATGAAGTTGAAAACTAAAACAAATTATCTGAATTTGGTCATTTGGTATATCAAGACTACAGCCTTTCCCAATGCATACAATAATACAAGTATTTGCAAAGAAATTCACCATTTGTTTCATTCTCTTAATCTTTCTATATACTAATAACACAGGTGAGATGCAACAGTCTAGAATACATGAACTGCCTAGGTAAATTGTAAGATGAGATCATTCCATTCTTAAAACATCTTTCTGTAAAATAAATCTAAGGATCTTTATTGCTGAACAGATTTCTTATATCCAGTGATAGTAACAAGATTTTTGTGAGAACAAGGGGATGAAACTAGCCCTAGGGGATGTCCTAGTCTGTGGTGACTCAGAGACAAGTCTCTTTTTTGCAGCATTGTCATTATGATTTGTAAGACAGTATCTTCCACATTTCCATGCCAGTTCTAGGCAGCTGACAAAGAGCACTAACATAAACAGGATCTTTGACTTTGCTGATTAAAGAGTGGCAACTGTTCATTTTTTTTTCTTTTAAAATACAGTGTGCACTGTGCTGCATTTATTCACAATCAAAGCAATGTTAAGTTCCCACTCATTTTAGTGAGAGCATAAAAAATACGTTGCATTTCTGTGTGTGGTGAGATCTTTGATTATACATACCTCTGAAAAGAAAACAGACAGGATGACTAGGCTGATCCAGTGAATTATTCCTGCAAACTGTGAAGCACTTGAAACTGCAATTAACACAATACAATGAAGCATCATTATAGTAGTTGAAAGCAACTTATGTTTAATATTCTTTGTACTGCTACAACTTACATGTGGAGGAAGCTTTCTTTCTGAAATTTTACGATGGAAGTACCAAAAAGGGGATGAGATGTAATGGGACATGGAGCTCCAGCCCTGTCAGCTGCTTGTGCTAGCGCAGGCCAGCATGTTCACAGCCACAGCAGCAGTTCAGGGGAGCTTTTACAGAAGGGACTGCTGGTGAGCAACGACACACACGTTTCAGGTCTTTGATGCTCTGTCACTGCTCCACGCTCTCACTGCACGCACTACTTCAGTGCAGGATGTGCTACTGACTCCGTCATACCTAAAAACTCAGAGTTTGAGTTCTATAAGCAAACAGAAAGCTCCATTATTCCTGCAGATATTCTATTTAGTCTTTGACAATTCAACTTAGAGAAGATCAGTAATTGGCTGGAGTAGGTGTTTAAAAATCGGTGCTCAAACTGGGCTTTAAAATCAACTGCTAGGCATCTAAACGACCTGGGCAGACTTTTGTACAGCTGTCCAGATGTGGCATGAACTGCCATGACTGGCTCAAGATCCCATTTCTCTCAGAGTCAAGTTTGACTCTAGGAAAACCAGAGGGAGATCAGCAACAGAAAGAACCAATATCATGATTAATAAGATCAAATCTCAAAACATGAATCTGATGGAGACTGTCAGATATCATCTGAATTTCTAATTTGTGGGAGAAACATATTTACAAAAATGTGCCTGTTTTGTACTGTGCATTTCAGGAAACATGGCTGTCAAATGGACAGCTTTGTCTTTAAGCAGGTTCCTATAAGAACACTCAGGAAAGTTACAACAAATAAAATGAAAGTGCCAGTTTAAAGCAGTTGGTGAAACCACATAAATGCTTTTACAGACTCTGTTTTTCAGAAGGACAGTGACCATTAAAATTACTTAAGTCACTTCATTTCAAACTCCTCTATGAAAAGAAGTCTGTACAAAGTAAACGAAGAAGTTCATTTATAATCTTCTGGCTATTACACACGAACTTCCTGCATGGGTACCCTTCGTGCCTACTAACTAAGAGGTAGTTATTCCCCTTTCAGAGTGGAATAAGGGACCTTGAACAAAGGTCCTCTTAGAAACTGACTTGCAGGAACAATCAGGAAAATTAATCTGAATTCATTAAAAGTATGATTTTAGACTGCACTAAAGCCTTGCATGGACACTCCCTGGTACTAAACTAGACTTTCATTTGATTCAACTGATTTTGCGTATAAGTAAAATGAACTAAACTGGACCGAATGAGTTTGTTGCAAGACTACATGAGAAGCTCTATGATCTGGATTGTCTTTCAGGGCTGAAAATGAACGTCTGGCAATTTGCAGGATTCCCTAAGCGAGTTCAAATGAACTTCGGCAATCAGCGTTCCCTGCACTGCTGACAAAACGAAGCAGAAAACTGAAAGGCTTTGCAGTACCTGAACTACTGGCAACTCTTACTCAGAAAGTCACATGCTCTCAAGTTCAGAATATGGAAATGAAGAGAAAAAATTCTCTCTTTATTTCAGGGGATTTGTGAGCCTACCGTCCCTACAGCAGACGGACTAAAATAGCCTGTGCAGTCCTGCTGTTTCAAACTATTACTGCATAACCGCAAAGTTGAAGGCAATCACTGCCTCTGTGTGCCTCAAGACTGGCAGAATTAACTTTAAGTCCCCAGAACAAACATGGCACACACTAAAGGAAGCATCCTGTTTTAAAATTAAAACGGACTAAAACGGAAAGGGGAGGGAAGGAACGGGGAAAGAAATCAGGATGCAACAAAAACCATCAGTAAGGGTTGCTGCTAGAACTGTTGGCAACCGGGGCTCAGCTAGGACTTGACGTGAAGGGATTTGCTGTGGGGCAGCAGAGAAATTAATTACAGGTGAAATGGCAGGCACAATACAACATATTTAACTTTCACAATACACTACCCTAATAGAGTGGCAGAAAGAAGAAGAAATAGAAGCCATTTGCAAGTTATCTTTCAAAGGGCTGTTGACTGACATTCAAGACTCCTGCTGCCCCTTAGTGGATGAGAAAGATATAGCAATCATGAATTTGGGAAGAAAATTAATTTCTGATGCTGCACTAACTGTAACAAAGACTGCTGGCTGCACTGCTCGATAGTGTGCCATTAAATTGCTGGTAAAAATTTGAAGTAGTCTTCCAAGCAAGAAGCTTTTGAACAAAAGCTTATTCACTAGCCTGTGTACTGGTGCTGGACATTTGTTTCTTCCAAAAGACTTCTCTTCCAAATTGCAGTGAAAGGCTAGAGAAAGAGAAGGCTCCTCTTCTCCAGGAGGTGCTCAGCCCTGCTCTGTGGTGTCTGGGATACATCACTGGGATTCCGGTGGAGGCAAAGCACCTAGGAGAGTTACGCGGGTGCCACTTTTAGCCAGAACAGCATTCTGTACTTGTTTTAACTTTTTTTCTCCAAAAATTGTAGCTAAAAGCCTAAAAGTTTTGCTTTATTTTACCTTTTGCTTGCCTGGTGCTATGGGAACAAAGGGGACGCAAGTGATGGAGGTGCTTGACGCCGATTTGCTGGCAGATACAAACTCTGCTGCCTCTGCAAGGAGCCAGCAGCAGATATGCACTGCATGGTTTGGGCAAGCCCTGAACCCATCCTCCTTTGAGGCATCATATATACATTCACCTCCATATGCATTTTCTTTGCACAACTATGCACGTGCTCACATAGGGCTCCAATCCAGCAACCAGGTGCTCAGGGGTAGGCCGTTTAGGTCCACTGTTTTTAGGAAGATCTGTTGTGCCTTTTACACATACCCCTGCTTGTAGCCAGTTGCAGAGGGAGGACTATACTAAGATGACTTCCTGACTCACTCGCTCCCACAATCATTGAAGACAGAGAAAGGAAAGCATGGGCTACACTTCTGAGTACAGAAACCTGCCAGCTTCTAATCCAGGCTACAGCCATGACCCCTTTTTGAAATGAGATGTAAGTGATTTAATATACATCTATTTCTCCATTTCCAAAACACGGATAATACTTGTATCACTGGGTAATGAGTGATTATTTGGCTAATGAATGGGAAGAGCTTTGAAGGTAGGACTAAAAACGCTCTGAATAAGTACTACTATCATTAGTGTTCCCATTATAGGTCTTCTGCTTTCTGGAGTTTTGAATTCCAGTATGATTTGGGCTAAAATATCTCAAAAGGTCTCTGTCTGTCTTATCTGTACAACCTACACATTTGCAAATGTGGTTTCCATTACCAACACTGACAGTTTTGAACATGGGAGAAGCGTACAGTGCAACCAAGGACTTCACTCAAAGTATGAGGGGAAAATGATGCTCTCAAAACGTCACAGCCATAGAAGCCTGGCTTTTCATGAAACAGTTTTGCACACAGAACGCAAAACCCATTAAAAACTCTAATTTAAAAAAAAAAAAGGAGACTTCCTAAGTAATTACAGCCCATAATGCGGATTAGCAGTTGTTATTATGAACAAAATTGGCAGTGATGTGCCGTAACATATCCTAATGCAGTGCTTGATTTCATACGAATAAAGAATCGTTATAAACTATAATTACATTTTTGAAAACCATAATTACACCCTAATGGCTTTTTAAAAGCTTAAGGTAACTGATGTACATTCCTCATATGACACAACTGCACTACTTATGCCAGCTCCACCAAGATAGCCTATATCTAATTTAAAACAAAATGCAGGGAATTTAACCATAGGGCACAAGAAGTAATGAGAAGTGTGGAGCATTGCTGCATTAGTTACAATGCAAAGTAGCAACACAGAACTGAATGGGTCCTTCCCTGTCAGGCACTGACAAAACGCATACAGGGCTGGGGCAGCCTCTGAACAGTGAAATCTCCTGGCCTGACCACATGCCTCTAGCTCATGCACCCGGTGGAAGGTGGGAAGCTTTTAAGAATATCATATGCACCAGATGCACAGACGAGGAAAGGTCCCTAACATATAGGCTTCCTCAGAAGACTCTTTGGAAAATAAATGGCAAGCAGACACATGACTCCAGAGGAACGTCTCCAAAACTGTGCTAAAAGTCTAAGAAGTAGCCTGTAATTTCTTTGGCTCTACAAGAATGACAACTTTATGCATAAAAAGAAAGATGTAGCTCCTCAGTAAATAGACTTGAAAGATTATTCTTCATCCAGTTTTTAAGGACTTAAACCCGTAACTAGCATTCCTGACTTCTGAAAGCTGCATTTTTGTCCAAATTCCGAGTTTCCTAGTCCAAAACGGTAAATTACCAGAGACTGTAGAAAATAAGTAAAAGAGTACAAGATTTCAAGAGTAATGGAGTAGCCATGCTCAGAGCAGTGCGTCAGACAAAAGCGTCAGAGGACTGGGGCAAGCATCAGTAATGGGGTAGGGAAGGCAGCTTAATCAGTGATTTGTCTTATGGGGTTCATAAAACAGTTGTAATTACCAATATCCTACCTTTAAAGTAATCTTATTACATTGTAATACTTAAATCTTTACAGCGAAATCTAACTCCACTAATATCAGTAGCTAAATCAAGAGAACAAAAGTACTTGAACAGAACAGAGATTGACTTGCTCAGTTTGAAAGTTGCCATAGGAGACAGCAGGCCGCGACTCATTCAGGCTACATATTCTTGCATTTATGGGATTGTCTGAACACCATTATTGCCCTTTCAAAATATTTGAGACTGTAGGGAGCTGCTAAACATTGCTCTTCAACATTTGTCAGAGGAAAAAATATAGTTAGTACTTGTGTTCATGTAAGATTTGCATCATAAAGCAAAAAAGGGAATGGAGGAAAAGAACAGTGGGAAAAAAAAGGATGTATTAGGAAGCAAAACAGCAGCATTCAAAATTCCATTGTGGAACCTGTGTAGAGTGAATTCAGATAGAGCAAAACTCTATTTAAGCCGTTATTTGACTCACAGTATATTAGCAAAGCAGAATGAAAATCTGTGTCGTTTCAGTGCGTTACAAGACAGAAAAACATAATTTCATTTCCTACCAATCTCAGTAGAAGTTAACAATAGAAATAGCACCAAGTGCACTAGCAAGTTCTTCACTCGCATCTATCCACATGCATGTGATAAGTGTCTGGGAAACTAACCATGCACAAAGGATCTTTTTTTCTGTGTATACAGCAAGTGGCTGTCCTAAAGGATAGACTTTTTCAGGTACTAATGACATATGTGCAGATACCTACATGTACACTCTGCTTACAACCTCTGAAAATGTGTCCTATACTGAATTTGGCCAGCAAAAAATGGGCAAAAAATGACTTCACTATACCAGGGTTCCACAAAAACACAGTTCTTTCCTAGCCTAGTAAATATTTAAATGATAGGAAAAAAATCCCCAACAACCTCCCCTCTTCAAAAACCTCCCAGCAACTTAAAACCTATATTTCATCAAAATAAGAAAAAAAAATCCTCCTACTCACACTGGAGAAGCTTTATATCTATTAGGAGTTCCAGAGTCAGAAGAATCACCACCAATACTACACAGGCTACCAGGAAACTGTTGAGACTTGCACTGAGCAAAAATACCTGCCACACAGCTGCTCGTCTCCCACAGCACGGTTTTAGCCAGTTAGATCTAAGGAAATAAAATTAAGAGGGAAAAAAAGAAGAAGAAGAAGAAGAAGAAGTGAAAAAGGAAGAGTGCTAAAGAGCAGTGGACTCCAAATGACAAGCTCTGCTGTTATGGATATAATCATCAACAATGCACAAAGACTGCAAAACCCACTTTTCTTGGTTTCTTTACTAACGTTGGACACTTCTCCAAATCAGTTTAGCGTTAAATCCTAGTTACATCTGTCAGCTGTGCTGACTGATTTAATAAGCATGCTTAATTGCTACTGTAACAGGGGCAAAATTCTACCCTGGGGATCTCGTGCAAGTCTCTCTCCTCTAATGAGGTTCTCAAACCTTCCGGAGGTTACCAGTGCCCGAGCGTCCTCCAAAGCACTGAGTAATGCAGCCCTAATCTCTCATGCATACTTCCTTTCCTACTTTCTTCCTGCCTCATAACCTTTCTCATTTATTTATTCTGACATATATGCTGCAACCATTTATCTGTGGACACCAAGGCATAGAGGGACTCTGCTATTAGGTTAGAACATAATGATGATTTTGATGGGTTCTTCTGGTACTTATGGGATGGTTCTTAAAGTTTTATGGTCTTCCACCTTCATCCCTGTTCCAGTATGAGACAGATTGGACAAGACCTACCAAATTCTATCCGCAGCTTTTAATCCCTGGCATCATGGAAAAGACCCATAGGAGTCTGGAAGACACTGAGGAGCAAGCTCAGTGGCTTCACAGCTACACCTATACTAGTGAACACACATGGCCTGGCAAAGTCTAACTCCCATCAGTCTGGCTTTGACCCAGACCAGGTACTTTCCCAGGGTTGGGGGTAGCACGGTTTGTGGGACAACGCATTCCAGGGACTGCTCCCAACAATTTGGATGGGGTCACTGTGCTTTGGAGGAAAAGGAAGGTGAAGTAAGCTGTGCCATACGGAGCCCTTGGCTACTTTAGTAGTATATATAAAGTCTGTGAGTTCAAAGATTCAAAAGAACTGTGAGAAGAATTAAAAAAGCACATAGCTATTACTTCAGCAACATGTGATAACAGCTGCTGAAATTCTGGTCCACAGCAACTTCATATTTTCCAGTGGGTGGTCTCAAGAGCGATGAAATTCCAGAAACAGCTCGGCTCTGTAGCAAAAATTGCTATAATCAGTTTTAGTATCAGCTAACAATCGTTCTCCAATTAACAGTGCAGCTCATTCACTGCAACTCCCAACTTCCTATCAATAGCTTCGAACTTCTGCAAACATTTCTGTCTCACCCTTGGTTCATGCTCCCCTTGGTAGCTGACAGTATACCACCATGCAGCCTGTCAGAGTTCAGTAATTAGCAACTTCATGCGAAACCTAAACTTGGGTTTCCAAAGAAAATTTGCCTGTTCCAAGGACAGAAGCTACAACTCCTGCTGAGTACAGCTACCAGGACCAGAAGGCAGCTGGTGAATGGGGAAATGCTGTGCTACTGCAGATACAGGTTTTCAAATGGGTTTTCCAAAATTTCAGATTTGTCTTTTGAAAATATTTGTAATAGCAGTAATAGCAGCATGGAGCTCAGAAGCATAAAGCCCATCCTGCTCCTTACTCTATATTTTGTTAGATAAAAACAAAATCTAGTTTCACTTTATGATACAGTATTTACTGTACCATTTCCCATCATGTTTTGTAACGTTCCTATACTGGCCCATCTCTGAAAACGTTGATGCTTACCTGACACTTTGCATTCTCAAAGCACTGTAAAGAGTTGACACGATCTATTAACTCAGGTTTACGAAGTTGCGCTACCCCTCTGCATGCTGCTGTAACCACGCTGTCTGAACTAAAACGACAGTGCACAGAAGTCGATGGCATACCAGAAGATGAGACGATACTGATCAGTTCCGGATCAACAGCTCTAAACTCAGCTCATGTTATAATCAAACACGCGGAAAATCATCACAAAACATTCCCTGAAACACCCACACGCAAAAATGAGGGGGAAAGTGATGCTAAGCGGTGCTCAGAGACTTGGTACAGCCAAGCGGCTTCTCAGAATTGAGAGGATCTGTTAAACACTTGTACTCAGAGCTGCCTGATTACCTGACCCTGAAAGACCTTCTCTGTTGACACCTTAAACTTCAAAGATTTGGCAATTGCTACCATCTAGAATGATCCTTAGCTCAAACTCTATTAAGGTTTTAGCCTGAAACGCAAAAGCACTCAGGGCTGTTTTTTCCTCAAATACTGCCTGAAAAATTTACAAGACAAAACAGCTCTAGTGAACTAAAAAATACAGGATTTACTGGATTTTAAATAGCTATTATAGCTTTCAAAACACAAGCCAAAAAGGCTTTGGGATAGGCCTTTTTGCAAGCTTTATCTTTTAGTGGATTTTATTTTACTCTGTCACTCTTCACTGCAGCTGTTATTTCGGTTTTCATGGCTTTTTTGGAGATTTTTATAAAAATAACACCAAGGAACGGCTCTGTTTAATTAGAAAAGTTTTTGGTTTTACTCTCTCCTTACATGTATCTCCCCTTTCCCAAAAGGCCTGTTTTGCCAGCATTTTAAGTATCGCAGGGCAGTTCTTCCTCCGTCCTGTTCTCAGGATGATCAGCAGAGGGCCTACGTACATTCCTTTAAAAGCTCTATCTAGTCGAGATTTTAAAATATACCAAACATATACCAGTAGGAATAAATCAGCCGTGATACTCAGCAGACATTACATACAGCCAGGAAAATCTTCATTCAGTCTAATCACTACTTCTAGAACTGCTAGGGAATGCGGAGTTTATGCTTCTGTCTTTGCAGTGGCAATATTTCACTGATACCAAAAAGTTTCTGAATTCAAGTATCAGCTTATAACTAGAAAAGCAATGTTCTTAAGAGGTGAACTGCAGAACATCTACCTGCTTACATTTCTATATCACTAATAAAATATATAAATTAATTTCCAAACTGCAAAAGTGTTTAAAAACCAAGAACCAGAAAACCACCTCTTTTTTGTGTCTTAATTTAGTACACCAAGGTGCTCTTGTTTAACACTTGTCCTGTGAGGGGGCAGTAATTAGCGTCTTCACATCGCTACCAGGCAGACCTCTTTGCAGACAATCATCCAAGACCTCTTCCAAGTCTCCAGAATCCACGGTCACTAAGGATCAGCACATTGTGCCCTAAAAATGGGGCACTGGATGGTTGCTTTCCTGGGCACTGTCCAGCTGGTTCATTCCCTATTACTTCTACAGCATCAGGAGTAGTACATATATAGTAGAGTCCTGTTCTTGCCTTGCTTTTTTTTGGCTTCTTACCTCTAGTGACGGGGGGAACATAAATAACAAAAGGAATTGTAATTTAACTAGAAATACATTTTAGTTAAAATTCACATACCACTGACATGCTAACCACACTGGCTCCTAATATATGAATCTCCTCATCTCCTTTAAGCCTGTTACCTGCCTTAGTAGAGTATCTCCTTTTCCTGATGTATGAGGGCTCCTCCATTTAAAAGGTGAGGAATCTAGTATTTGAGAAAGAACAAATCCCTACCAGAATTAGCCTAAGTTTAAATTTACTTTTCCAAATCCTAGCCTTCCTCTGCAAGACTGCAAAGCTACATGAAGTTTAAAGCTCAGACTAGGAACTCAGCCATATGAATATTTCAAAAAAAAGAAAAGTTAACTTTCACAGCTCATAAATTTATCCGAAGATTCACCAAAACAAAAAAGTGTTCCCTTTTATTCAGAGAACAAATAAAGCTTCTCTGGGTGTTCTGACTACATGTTGCCTGTGGATGCCATCCATTATACAGGATACAAATAAAATACAACTCGGGACAACTTTCCTGTATGACTTGGGACAGGTTCTTTAGAAACCTCAGTTACTCCACCTATACCACAGGAATATTATTTACCTTCCTTACAACGCCTGAGGTGAGGTAAATGCACTGGAATTGGGATTTTTTGCTTGATGATGACATAGGACTGCAAAGTTTTATTATGACATACTAAAATATATTCAGTGGAATTTTACCAGGAATAATTATTTTTAAAGATGCTTTCACACATGGCTTTGCGGAAAGCCAATCTGTCATCATCGCTGCTAGTTTTATTATAAAACAGCTTGGAAAAGGACATAAGGCAAAACCAGGAAAGCTTTAACATATTTCTTTGGTAAGGAACCACTACAAACAATTTGTTCAAGCTGTTAACAGCTGTCACTATTTCTATTTTCTGGTCTTGCAAACAAATATCCCAAAACCTGCATCATACCTTACCCTGCCTTTTTTTGGCTAAGCAGCAAATGTTTGCATCTCACAAGATGACTACAATTAGAAAACAGAAGGATGGATGAGACCCAAATCACTATCTGAAGGAGTAGAAAGGCCACGGCCAGGAAGTGACTGAAATATAGAAAGGCTAAATAAAATATCAAGTCTGGTTGCAGCAAAACAGCCAGGAGAGCCTCACAGGAGGCTACAAGTAGCAGCTGGAGGCCTGCAGGAACTCAGAGGAGGAAGTACAGCCTTGCAGCCCTTTCCTGGACTTCTCCTAGAGGCTTAGTTAGAGTGATGCTAACGACCGAAGTTTAACTATTGATGGCCCCCTTACTCTTTTTCCCCTACAAGCTTTACAATTTCTAACCCCATTACTTTTCTTGGAGGGCTGCTGCGCAACTCTGTTGCTCTAATGGCAGGAAAGATTCTTCCAGTTTTCAGCCTAAACTTACACACGGCCAGTTCACACCTCTCTGTCCATGTGCCAGCACTGATGTTTAGCTTGATTAGCTCTTCTCCCTTGCTGGTGTTCATGTCCCTGATGCATTTATACAGAACAATGATATCCTCTCATTTACTTTGTTTAAGAAACCCAGTCTTTTTGTTAAACAGACACTCAGTTTCTCTAATTGTGCTGGTAGTCCCTTCTGCATGTGAATACGGGCAATCAGAGCGGTACATAATATTTTGGAATACGTTTAATTACATGAACACTTCTCTATCTCTATCTGAAGTACTTCACTTGATGCATTTG